GACTGAAATGTTTAAGTCATGAAACCATATAAATCTTAGAAAACAGGCAATAAAATTTTGGACATCTCATGTAGCAGTATTTTCACTGATATATCTCCTAGGGCAAGACAAACAAAAGAAGAAATAAACAAATGGAACTACATCAAAATAAGAAGCTTCTGCACAGCAAAAGAAACCGTCAACAAGATGGAAAGGGAACCCACTGTTTGGGAGAACCAGTGATGATACATCTGATAAGAGGTTAATTTCCAAAATATGCAAAGAACTACAACTCAACACCAGGAAGACAATCGAATTAAAAATGAGCAAAGGATCTGAATAGACACGTCTGCAGGGAGGACATGCAGATGGCCAATAGACATATGAGAAAATGCTCAATGTCACTAATCAGAAAGATGCAAATTAAAACTGCAATCAGGTATCACCTCATACCTGCCAGAATGGCTACCATCAATAAGTGCTGGTGAGGATGTAGAGAAAGGAACCCTAGTACACTGCTGGTGGGAATGCAGACTGGTGCAGCTACTATGGAAAACAGTGTGGAGTTTCCTCAAAAAATTAAAAATGGAACTGCTGTTTGACCCAGCGATCCCACTTCTGAGAATATATCCTAAGAAACTTGAAACACCAGTCAGAAAGAATATATGCACCCCTATTCATAGCAGCATTATTTACAATAGCTAAAATCTGGAAACAGCCCGTTATTATATTAGTGGGTAAAAATCCTGTGGTACATTTACACAATGGAATATTACATGGCTGTAAAAAAGAAGGCGCTCATATCCTTTGCAAGCAAGGATGGACCTGGAGATTATTATGCTAAGTAAAATAAGCCAATTAGAGCCCTAACCAATTTGGCTCAGTGGATAGAGCATTGGCCTGCAGACTGAAAGGTCCCAGGTTCTATTCTGGTTAAGGGCATGTACCTTGGTTGTGGGCACATCCCCAGTAGGAAGTGTGCAGGAGGCAGCTGATTGATGTTTCTGTCTCATCGATGTTTCTTACTCTCTATCCCTCTCTTGTCCTCTCTGTAAGAAATCAATAAAATATATTTTTTTAAAAACAAGCCAGTTAGAGAAAGACAAATATCACGTGATCTCACTTATATGTGGAATCCAATGAACAAAATAAACTGACAAAAATAGATCTAAAAGCATGGATTCATGGAGCAGAATGACAGATCTCGGGGTGGGAGGGACAGAAAGAGATTAACCAAAGAACATATATGTATATATGCATAGCACATGGACACAGCCAATAGTGTAGTGAAGACCTGGGGTGGGATGGGGGCTAGATGGAGGGGCCAAAGTAGGGGGGAAACGGGACATATGTAATGTCAACAATTTTTAAAAAATCTTTTGTGTCCCACATTCCATTATCTGTATCACTTAACCTATTCACTTTAGTGTTCAAAATGTGCTTCATGCCCTGATTCCCCATACCTTTGTTCATGCCCATTTTTCTCTGGTTCTGTCCTTACCCTAAACTCTAGGAATGTATATGTAGCAAGCTCCATATACAACTGAAACAGATATGAAGGAAGAGAATTGTTGCTATGAATTGAATTGTGGAGGAAAAATCTGTTATATCAAAGTATAACAGAACAGAAGGAATACACAGTAGTCCCCCTTTATCAAGGTTTTTGCTTTCAGTGTTTTAAGTTCTTGTGGTCAACTATGGTAGAAAATATTAAGTGGAAAATTACTGTAATAAACAATGGATAAATTTTTTTGGTCATCCTCACCCAAGGATTTTTTCCTTCCCCATTCAATTTTAGAGAGAATGGAGAGGTGGGAGGGAGCAGGGAGTGGGGGGCGGGGAGGAACAATGATGTGAGAGACATCGATTGTTTGCCTCCCCTACATGCCTCAATCGGTGCCAGGAATCGAACCTTAAACCCTTCAGTGCTCAGACGACACCACTGAGAAATAACAGCCAGGGCAACAATTGCTAAGTTTTAAATTGCACATTGTTCTGAGTAACATAATGAAATCTTTTGCAGTCTTGCCCTAGTAACCATCTCAGTTATAAAAGAGAAAGAAATGGAGGGAGGGAGGAAGGGAAGAAGGGAGGGAGCCAAACCACATTCACATAACTTTTATTTTGGTATATTGTTATAGTTATTTTATTATGTTAATGTTATTAATCTTATTGTGCCTAATTTATAAGTTAAACTTTATCATAGGTATGTATGTATCCAAGGAAAAATCATAGTCTATATAAGGTTTGTTACTATTCTAAGTTTCAGGCATCCATTGGAAGTCTTGGAATGTATCCCCTGAGTATAATGGTGACCTTTTTTTTTAGAATGCATGTCAGGTCTATTTATTAAAGTGAAGTACGTATTTCAATTCTATAAAATTTTTATTACTGGTGAATTCTAGCTCTTGTCATTGCCATCTTTGATTCACTGAAATATTCTTAAGATTCAAGAGAAGCTCTACTTTCTGAGGTTCCCCAGATCAGCAGGCTACATGTATGTCATATTGCTCTGAACTCTTGTATTGCTTAGTGTCTGTGTTTGATATCTACTTGTGAATTTCCCCCCTATTTATTTATTTATTTATTTATTAATTTATTAATTAACTTAGGTTAATCCTCACCCAAGGATATTTTTCCATTGATCTTTAGACAGAGTAGAAGAGAGAGGGAAAGACAGAGTGAGAGAAACACATCGATTGGTTGCCTCCTGCACGCGCCCTGACCAAGGGCAACCAAGCTGTATGCCCTTGACTAAAATTGAACGCGGGACCTTTTGGTCCTCAGGCTGATGCTCTATCCACTGAACCAAACTGGCTAAGGCATTTTTCTCCCCTTTTAAGTTCCTTCCATAACCTCTTGAATATACTACTATACTTTGAATTCATTTTTTTATGTATGAAACCCCCCCATATCCTAATATAGAAAGAGCCAGGGTCCGTCACGGCCAGACGGAAGACCGAACAGTGGGCCCTGGAGCGTGGTGGCTGGAGGGATCTGTGGGCCCTGGGTCACTGAGGCGCGGCGGCAAGAAGGGTCTGTGGGCCCCAGGCCACTGGGGCATGATGGTGGGAGGGATCTGTGGGCCCCGGGCCGGCTGTGTAGGTCCCAGGCTCAGGCAGCCACAGGTGCTGCAAAGGGCCGAGGTGCAGCTGCAAAGAGCCCAGGGTCAGGCCGGCAGTGGCAGCAGCAGCGGGGTAATGGGAGTGGCGTCTTCCCCTGTTCCACCAGGTCACCTCCCACAGAGGGAGGCCAGACTGTGGCTTAGGCTTGGGGCCGAGGCAGAGGCAGTTAGGGGCTATCAGGCAGGCGGGCGGGGCTGCGGGTGTGAGGCTGTGAAGGTCCCAGGTTCAGACAGCTGCGGGTGGCTGGTAAGGACCAAGGCGTGGCTGCGAAGGGCTGAGGCGCAGCTGCAAATGGCCTAGGCTCAGGTCCCCAGTAGCAGAGTAATGGGGATGGCGCCTTCCCCTGATCCACCAGGTCGCCTCCTGCAGAGGGAGGCTAGACTGCGGCTTAGGCCGGGGCCCGAGGCAGAGGTGGTTAGCGGCGATCAGGCTGGCAGAGGGGCAAGGTAGGGGCAATTCAGCCGGCAGGGGGGCAAGTTAGGGGCAATCAGGCCACAGAGGGGCAAGGTAGGGGTGATCAGGCCGGCAGGGGGGCAAGGTAGGGGCAATCAGGCAGGCAGGCAGGTGAGCAGTTAGGTGCCAGCGGTCCCGGATTGTGAGAGGGATGTCCGACTGATGGTTTAGGCCCGATCCCACAGTGCCGAGGTGCAGCTGCAACCTGTGGGATCGGGCCTAAACTGGCAGTCGGACATCCCCCGAGGGGTCCCAAATTGGAGAGGGTGCAGGCCAGGCTGAGGGACACCCCCCCTCCCGTGCACGAATTTCGTGCACCGGGCCTCTAGTCTCTCTATAAAAGCCTAAGCAACCGTTACAACTGGATGACCGGCTGGTAGCTATGATGTGCATGAACCACCAGGGGGCAGATGCTCAACTCAGGAGCAGCCCCCTGGTGGTCAGTGCACTCCCACAGCCGGCCAGTCCGATTGGCCCTGTTCGCTGGCCAGGCCGAGGGACCCCACCCGTGCATGAATTTGTGCACCAGGCCACTAGTACAGTAGGTTCTTGGGTTACATTCGAGATCCGTTCCTATGGCGCAACATAACGCCACGCGATTTTCACCATAAGTCAGAACCCACCTACATAAGCACCTACGTCACTCACATGGAGCACATACACAGCAGTAATGAAGTGAAACAGTAAAAAAAAATTTAAAAGAAAGATAATTCCTGACCTTTACTTGTGGTAAATAATAAAAACATAAAGCACATATGTACATACATGGAAATGACAGAACTTTTTTTTTTTAATAAATAAATGGGAGATGGCGACGTAACCACGAAACGACATACGTCAAGTCCAACGTAACCCGAGGACTGTCTGTATAGGTATAATTGAGATAATTCTCATACAATAAAATTCTCTTAAAGTGTACAATTCACTGGTTTATAGTATATTCAGTTTTGTGCCATCACCACCACAATCTAATTCCAGAACATTTACATCACCCCAGAAAAAGAAACTCCTCACACTTTAGCAGTCACTCTCATTCCCTTCTCCTCCTAGCCCCTGGCAACCAATCTATTTTCTTTTTTCTGTATGGACTTGCCTTTTCTGGACATTTCAGTGTACGCCTTTTTAAAAAGTATATAAACTGTTTTAATGCAAACTTAATAAAGAACCTCATTTTAAATAGAAAGCTCTCTATTTACATTTAGTAGCTTCTTGAATAGGTAGCTTTTAATGAGAGTGTTGCAGGATCAGTTTTTAGAAGTGGATGTGGATTAATGGATAGGTGAGGGGAGGACATTTTTTTTTTTAAGTACAGGAAAAAGCATAAACAAGGTGATGTAGTTGTGGTAAGCAAAGAACTTGGTTTGAGACTTAGTTCTTTTTTAGATCTGTACCTTGATCTAGAAATAAACAAATGTTAAATATGATTTATTTTTTTCCATCTAGACTGTGGCTCCAGCGGCCTTATTTCTAGCAGCTAAAGTAGAAGAGCAGCCAAAAAAATTGGAACATGTCATCAAGGTAGCACATGCTTGTCTCCATCCACAGGAGTCACTTCCTGATACCAGGAGTGAGGTAAGGGATTAATTACACATATGTTTTTCTTAATTTTTTTTTATTATATCTTAGTTTTGTAACTTTGATTTATTGAAGTCCTAATGGGGTCTTTTAAAGGAACCTGTTAGTGTTTGTTTTTTTCCTTAACAAAAACATGGGAATTTTATGGCAGAAGTTAATTGTATTCATTGTAGTAAAATTAGAAAATGCAGACAAAAAAAAATATATCACCTAGATATAATTTGGACCACAGATCTATAAGTGAACCATTATTATTTCCAGCTTCTTTTCTATAAATAGCTGTATATGTATCTATGTTGTGTGTTTTTGACTTACTATATCCCAAATATTTTCCCATTTTATTAATTTTCCACTTGCTTTAATCCTCACCTGTGGATATTTTTCCATTGATTTTTAGAGAGAGTGGAAGGGGGAGAGACAGAGAGAAAGAGAAATATCGATGTGAGAGAGAGACATTGATTAGTTGCCTCCTGTGCACCCTGACCATGGCCTTGGCCAGGGAGGATCCTGCAACTGAGGTACATGCTCTTGACCAGAATCCAACCTGGGACCCTTCAGTCCGCAGGCCAACACTCTATCCACTGAGCCAAACCGGCTAGGGCAATTTTCCACTTGCTTTAAATGTAGTATTTCATCATATACATGTATATCCTATATAATAAAAGGCTGATATGCAAATAGACTGAACAGTGGAACAACCAAACAACAGAACAGCCAGTCACTATGATGTGTACAGACCACCAGGGGACATGTGCAGAACATGGTGGGTATTGGCCATGGTGGGATGGTGGAGCAGGTGAGCGGGGGCACCAGACCAAGGCAGGGCACCAGTCACTTTCATCGGAGTGAACCTCTGGTGGTTATTCAAAATTCTTTGCTCCCACCCACCACGGTCCTGCCTGGTGCTCGCACCTGCTCCTGGCACCGGAGCCACCGCTCACACCTGTTGCCTGTACCCGCCGCCGCCGGTCCCAATCACTCGGCGCTGTCAGCAGGTGCGAATGGCGGCTGCCAGCCCCGATTGCCCCTGAGGGGTTCTCCACTTTCCCCTGCTCCTGAGGGGCGTTTGGGGCAGCAGCCGCCGCTCGCACCCACTGACAGCGCTGGCCCCACTCGCACCCGCTGCTGGTGCCAGCCCCAATCACTTCACACCGTCAGCGGGTGCAAGTGGGGCCAGTGCTGTCAGTGCGTGGGAGCAGTGGCAGCAGGAGCGGGGCTGCCAGCACATGGGACTGGGGGCCATGGCAGGAGGGGCCAGGCAGGGGCGTGGAGGATGGGCAGAGACCCACCCCTGTGCTTACCGCAGCCTCACGGCCCACAGTTCCTTTCAAGATGCACAAATTCGTGCACTGGGCCCCTAGTGTATGTGTGTGTGTGTGTGTGTGTGTGTGTGTGTGTGTGTGTGTGTATGTACATACATATATATTTTTTAATTACTTGTTGTTCCTAAGAGAATGTTCTAAGAAATTACAAAAGTTATATATGTTCATTATAAGAGAAGCCAAGCAATTAAGAATCATTTAAAGTGAAAGTTAAAGCATCGCCTCTCCTCCTCCTAGGACAGTGGTTCTCAACCTTCTGGCCCTTTAAATACAGTTCCTCATGTTGTGACCCAACCATAAAATTATTTTCGTTGCTACTTCATAACTGTAATGTTGCTACTGTTATGAATCGTAATGTAAATATCTGATATGCAGGATGGTCTTAGGCGACCCCTGTGAAAGGGTCATTCAACCGCCAAGGGTCTCGACCCACAGGTTGAGAACCGCTGTCCTAGGAAGATACTGCTGATTACAGTTCTGGTATACTATATTCTTTCAGACTTGTGTGTGTGTGTAGAGAGGGAGAGAGAGAGAGAGAGAGAAAGAAACATCAATGTGAAAGAGAAACATTGATTGGTTGCCTCCCCTATATACCCCAAACTAGGTATGTGCACTGACTGGGAATCGAACCCACAACCTTTTGGTATACGGGATGATGCTCCAACCAGCTGACCCACCCAGTCAGGGCATATTCTTTTAAACTTTTATCTTATGCATATACATACAGCTTTTTTTTCTTCCATCCTTCCTTGCCTTTCTTAAAAAAGGGAAAATCGCCCTAACTGGTTTGGCTCAGTGGATAGAGCATTGGCCTGCGGACTGACGGGTCCCAGGTTCGATTCCGGTCAAGGGCATGTACTTTGGTTTCGGGCACATCCCCAGTAGGAGGTGTGCAGGAGGCAGCTGATCGATGTTTCTAACTCTCTATCCTTCTCCCTTCCTCTCTGTAAAATATCAATAAAATACATTTAAAAAAAAAAAAAAAAAAGGGAAAATCTCTCCTGGCTTTATAAGTCAGTGACTGGGGTGTGATGAGTCGTGAAAATTGGAGAGGTCTGACATTTGTAAGTGCTTGCAGAAAAATTATGGATTACTCCTACTAGATTATTTAAGTCTCTTACAGTGGATGCATGAGTCATCCTTTATCAAATAGATAAATAGAATTGTGTGTTCTCATATTGGAGAAAGGGATTTTGAAGGGGGGATATTTATTTTGTGTGTGTATTGACAATAGCCCCTAATTATGTGAATTAAGTGTTTTTCATGGCAGTGTCTTGACTTCCTTCATTTTCTCTTTGGGCTATACCAGTAGTTCTTATTGAAAAGAGTTATTGCTCTGAACTTTTATTTAGGTTTGAGACTAATTACTAAATGTCTTTATTAGTCTAGAGCAGTGGTCGGCAAACTGCGCCTTGCGAGCCACATGCGGCTCTTTGGCCCCTTGAGTGTGGCTCTTCCACAAAATATCATTTGCGGGTGTGCATGTACAGTGCGATTGAAACTTCGTGGCCCATGCGCAGAAGTCGGTATTTTGTGGAAGAGTCACACTCAAGGGGCCAAAGAGCCGCATGTGGCTCGCAAGCCGCAGTTTGCTGACCACTGGTCTATAGAATTGACCAAAAAAGACCATTTTATTTTAACAAAATAAAACAGAAAGCCCTGGCTAGTGTGGCTCAGTTGGTTGGGCATCCCGTGCACTGAAGGGTTGCTGGTTCAATTCTTGGTCCTGGCACATGCTGGGTTGCAGGCTAACCCCCCGCCCCCGCCAGTGGGGGGATGAAAGTGAGTGTGGCTGGTCAATGTTGCACTCTCACTTCAGTGTTTCTCTCTTCTCCCTTTCTCGCTCTCTAAAAATCAGTAACCTATTAAAACACACACACACACACACACACACACACACACACACACACTCTACACTAATAAAAGAGAAACATGGTAATTAGCGTACGACCGCTACCCTTCCCATTGGCTAATCAGCATATCCTTATGCAAATTAACTGTCAGCCAAGATGGCGGCCAGCAGCCATGCACTGAAGCGAACAGGGAGGCTTGCTTGCTCCAGTGACTGCGGATTCCAACGTTCCCCGCCTAACTTGCCGGCCTCTCAGCTGCAACTCTAAGCAACTGTGTTGCAAATATAGAAGCTAAACAAAACCCCAGAAACCGGCTGGGCTTCGGCCAGCCTGACCGCAACATTGTATCAATGTTTTCAGCAGCGAGGCCTCAGAATAAAAAAAAAAGAAAAAGAAAAAAAGGAGCAGTTGGGAGCCTCAGTCACCCGCCAGCCAGAAAACAGCCCTCAGCCCCTCAGCCAGCCTGACCAGGCACCCCAGTGGGGACCCCCACCCTGATCCAGGACACCCTTCAGAGCAAACCAGCCAGCCCTCACCTGTGCACCAGGCCTCTATTCTATATAGTAAAAGGGTAATATGCCTCCTGGCACCGGGATCAGCGTGACAGGGGGCAGCGCCCAAACCCCATGATCGCCCTGCGGCTCTGTGAGTGACAGGGGGCGGGGCCACAACCTACCTATCCTCCCTGCTCTGTTTGTGACAGGGGAAGGCGCCCCAACCCCCTGATCAGCCCTGCTCTGTGCCTGATAGGGGGGAGCTCCCCAATCCCCTGATCTCCCTGCAGCTCTGTGTGTGACAGGGTGCGGCGTCCCAACCCCCTGATCGGCCCTGCTCTGTGTGTGATAGGTTGCGGCACCCCAAACCCCCCCCCCACACACACAGGCCCTGCCTCTGTGTGTGACAGGGTAGAGCCATAACCTCCCCATCGGCCCTGCCCGGAGTGTGACAGTGGCGACGCCCCAACCCCCTGATGGGCCCTGCTCTGTGTGTGACAGGGGGGAGCTCCCCAACCCCTTGATGGGCCCTGCTCTGTGCATGACAGGGGGCAGCGCCCAACCCCCTGATGGGCCCTGCTCTGTGCATGACAGGGGGTGGCGCTGCAACATCCCCATCGACCCTGCTTTGAGTGTGACATATGGGCGGTGCCCCAATCCCCCAATCGGCCCTACCCTGAGCATGACTGAGGGTGGCATCACAACTTCCTGATCCACCCTACTCTGTGCATGACGGGGCGGCGCCCCAACTCCCCAATCAGCCCTGCTCTGAGCCCGACCAGGGGCTGCACCTAGGGATTGG